AGAGGGGAAGAGCCAGATGGGTTGGTCAAGGAAGCCCTGTCTGAGGTGGTCTATGAGCAGCGAGCTGAATGGAATTCACTTGCCATTTGATGATCAGTGGACAGAGCATTCCAGGCCAGGAGTAGATGTTTCTTTTTCTTCTTCTATTGGTAAAAAATGTAGTGAAGTCATTTCTCGAGCAGGAGGATAGACGATAGCTTGTCGGAGGTTTGAGGAGATTGAGGAGGAGCCTTGTGGATGGTCAGCTGGCAGAGTGGGGGAGTAGATGACTGGAGACACACAGCAGGGTCGCCGGGCCACACAGGATGTGCAGTGAAAGGCGTGATTCTCGGGCGGGGGCGGGGGGGGGGGTTTGCCCCAGAGGATACTGACGTTTCTAAACCAGACTGGAGAAAGCTGGCAGCAGACGGAGTGATTCAGACTGTGTTGTGCATGTGAAGGAATGAGTGGGGCTGTGACGGAAGGTAACGGGCAGGGGCACAGGTGCCATTGATAAGGTTGGCAGAGGGAGCCTCTCTGAGGAGGGGCGCTTGAGGAGACGCTGGGAGATGGAGAGACGCCTGCCACGGAGGATCCTTGGGGCTAGCCTTCCGGTAGAGGGGGAGCGTTATAAAGCCCTTGAGCTTAAAAGAGTAAATGAAGTGCCCTGGCCGGGTGGCGCAGTTGGTTGGAATGCTGTCTCCTACTCCAAAAGGTTGTGGGTTCGAGTACTGTTCAGCACATAACACCCTGGTCGGGCATGTACAAGAGACAACTGATCCATGTTTCTCACATTGACGTTTCTCTCTCCCCCAGTCCCTCTAAAAAAAAAAAAAAAAATCAATAGAAACATATCTTTAGGTGAGGATTAAAAAAAAAGAGTTATTAAGTAACAATATCTTGTAGGAGTTCTCTAGAAAGAGAGAAGTAGTAGTATATTAATTGTATAGTTGTGTTTCTTTTGGCTTCTGTTTTAATTACAGAAACTTCAAGTGTTTTGTGGGAAAATGGTATATGTAGTTATTAAGTGCTTTTGTGAGCTCAGAAATACATTCCACAGACTACCGGTCAGGAGGGGCCAGGAAGAGCGTGTTCCTTTCCAGATAAGTTGCCAACTTTGAAACAAACATGTAACGTAAGAGCTCATTGCCACAGGATCCCACCCGAAATACCACACACACTTGAAGTAAACTGTATTTGGTTTCTGTGTGTTAAATTTCTTGTTAGCTTACTTAGTAAATATTTATGATAATTTAGTTTGAATCCAAAGATTATAATAAAAAGTAATCTGAAAGAAAATTCTTTAGCCCCCCCCCCCCAATTTTGATTGTAAGACTTGCAGTTTACTATTCTAAATATATTTATCATTTACTTTGACATAGTGCCTCTAGAATAAATCAGTAGTATTTGGGACCAAGGTGTATGTAATCTGAAAGGTCTTTTATATATTTTGTTGCGCTTTGTATCAGATTTATTTATTCATCTGAAACTTAGAAGTCTTATTAGTCAGAACTCTTCTAGATGGAAATGACCGAAACCCGGCTCGGCTAAACTGGTTAGGAGCAGATTGAAAGAAACCAGGGTGTCTTAAACCAGAGGAAAATCTAGCAGGTAAACGAGGGAAATGGCAGCTGGAACTTGGCAACAAATGTAATCAGAAGGTAATGACCTGAGGGCATTTCTGTGACTCTCCACTGCAAGTTGGCGGCCTTCTTTTGTGACAGACTGGTTCTCTGTGGCAGGAAGCAAGGCGGTCACACCCTCCGAGCGTCACATCCGCAGGCTCTGCGGCGGAGACAGACCCTGGGCCAGCAGCTCTGCCAGGCCGGGCAGTGCAGCACACAGCCGGCCAGGCGCACGGAGCGTGCTTCCCTTCACCCCGTCAGTTCACGAACCCTTGCAGGGCACGAGGAAACATGGAGAAGTCAGGGACTTGACTAGAGTCACAGAGCTGGGAGGCCAGGCGTAGGGTTGGAACCCAGGCAGTCTGGTACCTACCCGAACTGACAGTGAGCCACTACGTCGTGTTCATTGAGATCAGCCACACGGAAGGCTTTGCTTTGTTTTGTTTTGTTTTGTTTCCGGCAGAAGAGTAAACGGTACAGGACAGGGAGGGATGTGGTTTCACTTTTTTTGTTTATCCTCATAAGAAAAGATATAACTGATGACATAGTGAATGTTTTCACATCTTTGAAAAATTCCACGAACTTTTGTCCAGAGACGTGCAGCGTGTGGGTGCCCGCACAGACCTTTCCCGCGCCCTGTGGCAGAGGGGCCTTCCGCCTGGGACCCGTGTTGAACCACATCGGTGGTTCCCACCCAGGGGTGGCTTTGTCCCTAGCGGCATTCAGCAATATCTGGTGTCACTTGAGTTGTCACAACCTGTGATGAGTTGCTACTGACATCTAGTGTCTATCGGCCCAGGGTGCTGCTCACAGGCGCACAGGGTGAGGCAGCTCCCCGACCAGACTCACACAGCCCACTTTAGTAGTGCTGAGGTTGGGACCCTGTGCCAGGTCCACTGGGCCATGTTCCAACTGAGAGTCTATTTGGATCGAAGAGGTAAGTAATGTTAAATCTGAGTACTTCTGGAGCGTGAATAGGTCAGGACCAAGTGGGAAGCAGGGTGAGGGGTGCAGGGTCACATTAGGCAGGACTCTCAAAAGGAGGACTAAATAATGACAGAAACTTGCAGGGGAGGCAGGAAAGTAGAGCAAACAGATCTTCACTGTTTTCCCCGAGGGCCAGCTCTGCGTATAACTCTCTGTCCTTCGCTGCTGTGCCTGTTGGTGGTGTCATGACTCGTTTTAGAGTAGCGTTTCAGCAGTGTGCTTGACAAGAATGGGCCAAAAATGGGCTTTGTGATTTACTCTGATTCATAACATTGAAATTGATTAAACTGAAAACTCTGGTTTGTAGTCAAAGAAATAGAGCCATACTTATTTTTTAAAAGCTATTTTGTGACTTTGGGATGCTTACTGTGTGCCAAACACTGCTAGATCAGTGCTCAGTCCCACTGAACTCTCATAGTAACCCTTTAAGGTAGTGACTGTGGTGACGGATAGCGAGCCTACTCACGGTCACGCAGCTAGGAAGCTGGAGTTGAAGTTCTGGTGGGTTCCATAGACTGAACTCCTGCCCCCAAGCGGGGCTCGGCTTGCCCCGCGCCCAGGTGCAGGCCTTCCTCGGGCGCCTCCGTCTGTGGCTGACACTGAGACACACGAATCCTGTGTGTATTCGGTCTCAGTTCCTGCTAGTGCGAGAATGTGTGTGCTTGGAAACAGGTATCCCATACGTACTTGAGAGCTTTTAAAAATTAAAGCTGTGAAATAGTCTATTCTAAATGGGTCTTAAAATTTGTGGAAGAAATGTAGTTACCAGTTTGAGGTAATTATTTGGATGTGATGGTTTTGGAACAGTGTGTTTATTTTCTTTACATATAGAAGGTTGGTGTTATTAAACATTTACAATGTATAAGAGAATTGAGATGAAGTCCTACCCTCTTAGTGTTTACCTCAGCTAATCCATTTGTGGAGAACATTGTACAAGCTGTTTCCAGTGAACTTCTGTGTAATAGGGACTTTGATACCAAAAGTAAGATCGATCCCTACCTCTCATTGGAAGACCGTTGTTTTGAAAGAGAGGGGACCCTTCATTTTTTACCATATTTGTGAGTAAATTAAATTGCTTTTAACATTTTCTAAGAAATGTGTGTGTCAGCCCAAGTGTTATTTCCTCTTTGTGGAGTTGAAAGTTAGGATGCAGGCCACTGTCCAGGGAGGAAGGGCCACACAGGTGGCCAGATGTGCTCTTCTCAAACTTCATTTTTTAAAATCCTCACCTGAGGACATTTTTTGCATTTATTGTCAGAGCAGGAGGGAGAGAGGAAGGGAGAGAGAGAGAAACATTGATGTGAGAGAAACACATCGACTGGTTGCTACCCACACGATCCCAACCAGGGCCAGTGACAAACTGCAACCAAGACACGTGCCTTAGCGGGAACCGAACCCAGGACTCTCTGGTCCATGGGCCGACACTAACCGCTGAGCCAAACCGGCCAGGGTTCAAACTTCTTATGTGGGGATGAGTAGTAAGATGTCTCGTCTCATTGATAAAAAGTATTGTTGCTTTTATGTTTTGTTTTATTTATATTTGCCAGCAGTTTCATATTTGGAGAAAAAGTATTGTGATTGGGGGAGGTGAGGTGCCTGTGATACTGTGGTCTGACTTCCCTGTTGTTACTGCGACTCCCCAGTTTGCACCTGGCTTCCCGATGTTCCTGACGCTTCCCTCCACGTCCGTCCCCACTGAGTCCTGGCAAATATGTGGGCAAGATTTATGCCAGTACCTTATTTTACTGTTTTTCCCTGCAAGCTTACTAAGTTATCATCATTGCTGGCTCCCTTTGTACTGGTTTTCTGTGTTAACTTTTAAGTTACATATTTTGTATGATTGTGTATAGTTAATATTGTTGAATAATCAGTCTGAGTTAAAACGTTTGATTAATTTAATCTTCAGAGTCTAGAAGATGTAAGAAATACTGCTTTATATGTGGTAAACATTTTGAATAGGTCATTAATTGATGACTCCCTTCAGTCTATAATGGTTAAATGTGGTTTGAATACTGTCTTCCTTGTATTCCCAATAGGTTTTGATCTACAGAAGGAAAATACCCCTGTTATTTACGGTGTGGTGTCAGTATTTGCTTACTTGAGAGTGTGTGCCTCAGACGGGGCAAAGCGGTGGCACTGGCCCAGGCTGACCAGTGTGAATGTTGCCAGTTACACGTCAGGACCTGGCCTTTGCCAGCCTTGCTCTGTGTAACTTTTTTTGATATGTGGAAAAGAGGGACAAGAGCTAAACTCAGAGCCAACTTGCTTTTGTTGGTCCACATGTTCAGCGCCAGGAGCACGCAGGCCTGCACCTGTTGGTAATTACGCGCAAGCCAGCTTTGCCGAATCCCAGGCCTCTGCTGAAACTTTTTTACTGGAACTAAACGATGTTGCCATTTTTATTTTTAGGTTTGCTGGCATGGGTAATCTCATTAAGGTGCTAACCAGGGACATAGACCACAATGCAGCACATTTTTTCTTGGACTTTGAAAGTAAGTCTCTTTAGCTCTTCACAGCTGGTGCATAATGGTAAAGGTGAAAGACTTATACTCACACCGCAGTGAAGGCCAGCCAAAATATTTGTTAATTGAATTTGGAATCCAAGTTTGCATGACTTTTTTCTTAATCGTAGGCAAACATCACCATCGTATGTATAACTCCTCAGTCGTTCATTTGCTAAAATCATGTTGAGTCTGTAGCCGGTGCTGTCCTTCATTAGTCCATGAAGCACGCAGCCTTATGATGAATATTCTAGCAGTATGCCGTGGTGACTATGCTCCGAGTCCTGCGATGGCTTTATCAAAATCACAAGTGTGCTGCGGATCCAGACCAGTGCTTAAATAACCTCCAAACATTCACGGTCCAGATTTGCTTAAAAACATACGCATGCAGGAAGTAAGTTTAATATTTTTCTATTTTAAGATGAAATGCAAAGGTGAGCTGTGGCCAAAACGCTTGCTATTTATTTGGCTTTGAATTGTTATTTTGGTGCAATTTTAAACAAGATTACATGTGAATAATTCTTGGTCAGAAATTTCTTTTTCAGAATACTAGCACTATTGGGATACTTAAAGAATTTTTCATTATAAGGCCATTAACGAGACTTGTCTTGGGAAAATTTTGCAAAGAATTAGAATGACAGTTTTGCCATTGTGTACAGGAAAACCACATTTCACCTCTAGGTCCTACACATCAGCACGTTGAGAACCCAGCTTGCTGCCTGCCAGAGCTCAGTCTGGGTGACCTGAAGGACGAATTCATGGCCTAATGAACATTTTTCCTATGACTATTGAAACAATCAATCAATTTCAGATGTTCTTATTTATAAAGGGATATTTTCTCTTTTCTCATTCTTGTCTTGACAGGTACCTTAACATGGGGAATCTTCTTAAAGTTTTGACATGCACAGACCTTGAGCAGGGGCCAAATTTTTTCCTTGATTTTGAAAGTGAGAAGATGATTTTATATCTATTTCTCTTTGCCTGCAGTAGACTGCGTTTGTCTTGCACTAAATGAGTGTTTCCACTTTGCCATCTTGTTAACTGCTTTGCATGACTGAGCTATGAATTGCTTGAGTAAAATTTCTGGTGCCTTCTAGAACTGGAAATCATATTTTATAGAATAAATTGTGGTAAAATTCTTTTTTGAAGTTTTATAAGAGATTCATATCTTAGTTGGACATTATTTTGTAATTTGAGATTCTCTAATGAAAATATTACTATGAAAAAATTTTGGTGGAAAGGACAAATGCTACTTCAGGATTTGTTCATGGAAGCAATATTTGGAGGAATTATTGCAATTGAGAAAAGTTAAATATTAACTCTATGTACCCACTGAAGTATTTCAATACAAATCTGTTCTTGAAGGCCATTCAAAGCTCAGTAATTTGGGCATAATATTAAAAGGTAAGCGTGAACCTTAATTATTTAATCTTTGTACATAATTAATTTGAAAAGTTAAGAAACTCATTACGTATTTATTTTGAGAGTTAATTTTTTTCTAACTCTAAATAAAAAGAAAGATAATGGGTTCACAGACCTTTGAGTAATTTGCCTTCTGTCTGTCTCATGTGCATGGCCTGTTGAGTGTGGTCTGAGGGTGGCAGGTAAGTGCCGTTGGCCCCTCTGCATGCTGAGAAGCTTGTGCTCTCTGGCTGGCTGTGCTGCTTAGCTTGTCTGGTTGTCGAATCAAGAACAATGATATTAAATTGGTGTCTTAGTGTGAATGTTGCTGTTTTAACTTATCATTAGAAAATTGTTAGGAAAGGGTGAAGAGATAGCCTGTAGATTGTAATCATGTGATCCCTTGCGTTATCACTTAAGGTTAAAACATTTAAACATATTTTTAAATACTTACGATTTAAGACCTTTTCTGTTTTAAAAACAAAGTAAACAAATCCCTTAAAATAAATCCCCAGAGAGTCATTGCATTTTTCACCAACTTCAGTTTAGTTTATGTAATATTATGCAATTCATTCTACTTTATGAATAATTTATGTATTTTTTCTTTAAACCAGGGGCAGTTCCTGTGAACACATTAGTTTGTTGCTTTTCTCCATTTTATGGAATAATTTGTGGTCTCTGATTTTTCTACTTTTATTACATTCTTACCAGTGTTCTCTTAATAGTTTGGGTAGTGTGTACAGCAAAGAGTAGTCATGTCAATATCAGGACCATAATAAATTGTTAGTTTTTAGGGGAACATGTAGTTAAGTAAATATTGGTTTTCTTGACCCTTCTCAACAATTTAACAAGACCGTTTTAAGTGCATGTTTAGCATGAATTTTAATCAGCTTGGGGATGTTGAGCAGGTTGCTGACTTGAAGATCATTCTTTCAGATGAGGCAACTCACATTAAAGCTGTATTTTAGTTTATTTGCAACCTTTCAAACTTGGTCTTGTATATTTTTCTGCTATTCTGTCTCCTTTTAACTCTGTCTCAAATTCCTTACATTTACAGAATCTTGGCTCTGATACAGTCAAGATCTTGTTCAAGACTTGGCACTTGATCTTTTTATAAACCCAGCATTATGTTGTGGTCCAGTGAGAAGCATGAATTTTACTGTAGTGTTTAAAATATTATTTGGTCTTGGTTTTCTAATCTGGGGTAGGTTTAGATCATTATCCTTAAAATTTAAATAGCTGATTTAGTGACAGGAAAAGGGTAAAACTGCTAACAACAATAATTACCAAAAACGAAGAACTACATATCAAGTGTTAATTTCTTAGACGAAGCTATAAATGAATGATACATGTTGCCTGTGTCAGCCTATGTAGAACTCTGGTTTGACACTTACTGGTTACTGTAAATAACTGTTCTTGTTTCTTATTTAAATTTTACAATATGTCTTCTTTTTTATTCTCATTTAATCAGTTTGATCTCTCATTCATTTTTCTTTTCTCTCTCTCTCTCTCTCTCTCTCTCCTCTCTCTCTCTCTCTCTGGTAAAAAAAACAAAACTTTTTTTAAAAAAGTTTTTCTTATGATTTGGCTACTAGAGTGAGCTTAGCCCATCAGATGGGTCCTCTTTTAAACTATTTTATGCCAGACGCAAAATGGTCGACATATTTGATGTTCCAGTTCCTTATGATTACAGAGAATAAAGCCACATTCTTTTATTAAATAAAATATGTAGTTCTACATTGTTTATTTCTAGAGGAATGGTAATATTCAGGTTACCAGTCATTTAGGTTTACTGTTTCCATCATTCTAACTGGTTAAGTCTAGCTCAGTGCATCTCCATGATTGGACAACTGTCGAAACAATTCCATAAAGATAAATATACTGGCATCAGTGTCAAACAAATGAACTATTCTAGTACATTTTAGACAGGACTTAGTGAGTCCTGTAGTTTAAAAATTAAAGACTCTGTCTTTGTCGTAAATCGTTCCTCCTTTAACTGGAGCATGTGCCCGCATGTGCTGTTTTTCACGTCAGTTCAGTGTACACTCATGGCTCGCCTCCTGCATGCTGACAGGTTGCTGCCGGAGTGCAAAGGTAGCTGAGGTGCAACTCATGCCTTTGGGGAGTTGTCAGGTTAGTAGGAGGGACAGGAATGCAAATTCATAATATTCTCTATGTAATTGACATTCCGGGTACAGATCAGAGAGGGGTTAACTTTACCCAGCAGTGAGTCGATTGGGCATCCTGGTAGACTTTCTGATGGTGACATTTGAGTTGGGTTGTGGAGGGTGAATCAGAATGTTTCAGACAGACTTAGTGAAGGACACTGTAGAAGGAACGAGTACAAAGGCCTTAAGGCTTGAAATGACAATCCGTGTTCATCGAAACTTCCTGTTACCTGTTCTTGAGGTACTAGAAAGAAGGTCTCTTTCTTAAAACAGGTTACACCCCCATATGATAAGGTTTTATTTGAGAAATAATGGCTCAGTTAACATATAAGTTCAGATTTGCCCCATAAAATCTGGCAGCACCTGTGCTAATGACAACATATATAAAAGCACTGCACTGGGGCCTGGGTCGCCTCTTCTAGTTCTTGACATTTTTTATTTTATAATGACACTGTTAAGTTTTTGCTTATTCTAATGAGAAATCATTTGCCTGAATAACTAGTGTATGTGGGCAAAAGTAAATTAAAGTTGTGAGTACATGAAACACAGAGTTCCTTCTTGTATTATTATTCATTATTTGTATCACAACTGTAAATCTACCTTTGCCCACCGCTGTATATGTTAGTTCATTAAATTGTGGTTCTTAGGAGAAGAGGGACTTCTTATTTGTTTTTATGTCCCTTCCCAATCTTAGCATAGTGCTTTATAAATTATAGAAGTTTAGTGTTTGTTAGTTAATCTTGATTGACATATTTTTAGTTAGACCAAAGTAGGAGAGTCAGTATAGGTGGATATTTGTAAATGAGAAATAGAATCTTACTTTCTCTGATTCTTTGTTTTAATGCCTTTACATTTAGTTACACATTTCTGCTGCTTCTGTATTTTTTGTGTTACCTGTCCCCCTATCTTTCAAAAAACTATTGATACCCACTTTTTTAGTCTAACTTTATTTTTCATTTGACCTCTTGTATATTTTCTGTTGCTTTTGCCCTGTACTTTGAAATATTTTTTATTCTGGTGGCATTTGCTTACATATGTTTTTTCTAAAATGATGTAGGATTTTATTTGTTCAAAGATTAAAATGCCTATTGGTGTCCTTTAACTCATGCTGGAGGCATAGTTATATCTACCATCTCTGTAATTTCTCATTTACACAACAAATATTTATCATAGAAAGTCTGTGAGGTACTGAGTTTACGTACCATTCAGTGGTATGTACTGCACATTGAGGTCCCCGCCTTGATGAGATTTATGGAGATAGAGTGTAAATATTTATTGATTGAATGAATGAGTACAAGATTAAAGCAGAGAGACTCCTTATCACAAGTTATAATTTTTATGTGATCTTTGCCTCCTTTTGTACCATAACAACTTTAATTTTAGTAATTATTTTCAGTGATTCTTTTAAAGAAAAGCAGTGTGAAATTATTAAAGTATTTAATTTTACCTTCAAACAAAAAGAGCAACTGAAATATACTGTAGTTTTTCTTGAATAGCTTTTAAATAAGCTTGGTGAATTATCATTGTGCTGCTCTCAGGAGTAGATGCGTTCCTTTGCAATCAAATGAATGTCCTTTTGTTAGCTGGCTAAGTAGTAGATTTTTTCTTCAACTAATGAAATTTTCACTCTTTGCTCTGAAAAATCTAAGTGACAAGTCTTGGGTGCATTATATAATATCATTTTTTTGAACAAATGCTTTCTTTTATGTAGTTTCTTCCTATCCCTGGTATTTCACCCTTTTGCATGACCTGCTGTCGGTACAGTAGTGCTTACCTGTCTGCTATTTTCTGTTTGTCTCCATTTCTACAGCAGTCTTCAGCAGCTTTCAAAATTATAAATGTGACTTCCTGTGACAGTCTAAAAATGTTCAATCAGTGTGGTGCTGGGTCCTTTTTCCACCCTTAGGGGAAACTGAAACCTTCTCCTTTGTTTTTAAGTTTCTTGGTACTTGTTAAATCTTTATTAATTATTCATCACTCCCAAGGTCTATTTAAATCTGCTTGATAATGTTTCTTTGTATGTAAGTCTCAGTGTCACATTTTTCTTGTAACAACTTGTCACCACACCAAAAATACATAGCATCTGCGAACCTTACAAGTACCTTTTCATATATGAAAGTCAAAATATTGTCCTTTGTCATGAATTCCCTCTTCATGAATTTAAGCTGTGTCTACTATTGATGTTTATGTCTGTAGTTTCACAATCCACATGAACAAGTATAAAACTGCTGCTTTTGCATGTAAAAAGTGTTTACTGTACCTGGTGTAAGTATTAAAGTTATAAGGTGTACTTTTTAAAAGTGTATGTCTAACTTACTTTGGAAAATATGGTCTGGCTAAAGGTGGAAGGATATTACAGCTAAATGACACACTCGGATTTTGAAAATATCATTTAACTGCAATATCGGTATTTGCTCCTAGAATTAATACCTGTATAGCTTCGGACACAGTCTTTTTAATTGGATCCTCTTGTGTAATTATTTTGTCACAGTATTTTCATTTAAAAAAATGCATGATTTCTGAAAAGAAATTTGAAAAATAAGGGAACAGACATGAGAGCACAAATTCTTAAGTTGGCTTTGCATGTAAATATTACTTGATTATTGTTTCTGTAGTACTGTCTTAAGTATGTTGAAATTAAAATTTTGGTATTGTTATTGTTGGTTTAAAAAATAATCTGTGGTATGTTTTTGACTAGTTGGCAGGTTTAATAGGTTGAGTTGAATTATGACCTGCCCTGAGCACAAAATACAGTTCCAGTGTTTAGGCATCTGGGTCCTGGTTTCCTATGTGAACCAAGTTCCCTTACATTTTCTGAGGAAAGGAATAGACAGATCGTTGTGTATTTGTGGGGAGATGGTATGTCTACAAAAGACTTCAGGTACTAGTTTTACATGATAGGTAAACAAAGAGATCAGAAATGTTCTTATTTCATATTATAAATTTGGTCTGCCTCCCCTACCCTCGTAAGAGAAAATTTTAGCTGGGAGAAATTCTGCAAGCACAGTTCCTCTCTAAAACATCGTGGTAGTTTATCTGTAGCAGCGTGGCCTCGTTGGAAAGAGTTAAGAAAAACTCACTTTCCTCAGAGTGTCCATCCCCCAAAGAAATGTATTAAATAAAACAATTTATCCTTCGAAAAACAAATGACCACATTATTAATAACAATTTCTGTTACCTCTAGTCTAGCAGAGAACTCTCAATGTAGTCACATTAACATATGTTCTGTGGCTAACACTGCAGGTGGTGGAAATGCCACGTGTGTGGTCCTCATCATGTCTTTGTAACGACAGCTCTTCCTTTTTTCCTCACTCATTCTCAAGGATGTAGGAGCGCAGTGTTTGCTTTAGCATTTAAACTGTCAGCGATAATATTGTAGCTCAAGTGTCTAGTTTTCAGAGGCCCAGTAATTCTGGAGCAGTTTATACTTGGACTCCCTGCCCAGGAATCGGACCAGGTGTTCATCAGCAGAGAAGCTCATTGGTACAGTGTTTAAAGTGGCCCCTAGAAAAGGGGAGCATCTAAAAAGTATTCTTTTAAAACATTTTTTATATCAAAATTTATTTATTAAAATTAATTTTACAGGGCAATAAAGTTGTTTCAGTCTTAAACCATAGGTTAGCAAGGTACAATAGTAGATCTTTCATTTCTGTTACGTTAAAATAGATCATTGCTTATGAATTACTGATAGTGATGAATATAATGAAAAAGTGATTATTAATGCTATCACAATTTAAATTTTGAATTCTAATTCTGCAGTTCACTTAATATACCAAGTCATGATTTGTAACTAAAATAAATAGTAATGTTTGGTGTTCCCTTGCTTCTTTGTGATATTTACAAACTTGATGCTAGTTATTCAAGTGTAGAACTATGGAAAAAATAACTTCTAAGAAGTGCAAGGTTAACATTGAATAAAATGTTAGTCATCTTTAGGAATTTGGATTGCTTAGAGTTATGTGTACTAAAAAATTCATATGACTGTGAATTTTCTTGTGCTTTCCTGCTATTTAGATGCCCAGCCTACAGAGTCTGAGAAGGAGATTTATAATCAGGTGAATGTAGTATTAAAAGATGCAGAAGGCATCTTGGAGGACTTGCAGTCATATAGAGGAGCCGGCCATGAAATACGGGAGGTAAAGCATAACCACTCTCCAGTCAACCGAAATGTGCTGTGTCCCTCTTCTTGATTGCTGTTGCTTTCTGTACTTTGGAGTTCTCTATTGCATATTAAATAATCTATTTAAAGGGAGATCACTTGCATTATTTCAAAATGGTTGCAAGATATAAGAGTAAAAGGAAAACAATGGTCTACAAATATGGAACATATATATTAAAGGAAACTTTATTTGTTTTATTGGTTACTCTCACACCTGAAATTTACTGAATCCATGGGGGCTGGTGGGACTCCTTAGAGGGGAGGAGAGAACACAGCTTTCTTTGGCACTTGTTCTGCCAGTCTATTGTTTCTGCTGCTCCGGAGTTTCCTGGGGAAAGTCTGCAGTCACCCTTGTGGTCTGGATCCCAGCTCTGTCTGATGACTTCACACCACAGAGCAAATGTTCAGTGTGGTCTCCCTCAGCTTCTTTTCCCAAGCCTCTCATCTCATCCAGCTTTCTTTCCAGTCATCTTTTTCCATTTCTTATGTTTTTCAGAACAAGCTTAGTCTCTATTTCTTACCAAGACTGTCTTCTCTACCATTGTTCTCCATTCTCCTCCAGAGCTTTAACTATTTCTTCTCTTCATTACATCTGTTTTTTCTCTCTCTTTTTTTTACCCTCACCCGAGGACATTTTTCCATTTTTTGTTCAGATAGAGTGGGAAGGAGAGAGAGGAAGAGAGAAAGAGAGAAACATCAACGTGAAAGGGACACATCAAGTGGCTGCCACCCGCACGACCCAACCAGGGTCGGAGACAAACTGCAACCGAGGTACATGCCCTTAGTGGGAACCGAACCCGGGTCTCTCTGGACCGCAGGCTGATGCTCTAACCGCTGAGCCAAACTGGCCAGGACTTTTTTTTCTCTTTTATTGACTTTTTCTCCTCAGCACAAACACGTACTCCTCTGTGCTGTACTACCCAAAGAAACCTTTGAGCCTCTTTTTCTCATTACCACGTTTCTTGAAGACATATCCCGAACTTTGTTTCTTCACCCCCTTGACTCTATTCTGTAACTGCTGGTGCGCAGGCCTCAGGTCCCATCCAGCTCCTCCAGTGGAGCTGAGTCCCATGCTCCATGGTGGTCGCCACTGTCATCTACTAGGCACCCTTTTGCATGCTGGGCTATAATTGGTGCTACGCCAGAAAACGTTCTTGAACAGCAGTAAAGCTGATGTGAAAGGGGAAGGAATCAAAATTAGGAGGAGAACCATAAAATGTCGTCATAGGAGAGCAGCCGTTGTCTGCAGTTCTAAATCCAGGCATGGCCGGGACCCAGCCACCTGCACTCGGTTATGACAGTGGGTGGCACTGGCGGGAGCATTTGCTGCTGTGAGGATGAGCAGATACTTAGAAAATTAGTTTTAGATCCTTGCAAGAAAAGCTGGACAGGCTTCTCAAGAGAAAAAAACAAATTAAAAATTTTATCTATTTGCTTATTTCCTGAATAATAAATAAAATAAACAAATTTTTACTACTTGCTATAAAACATTACTGAGATGGGGCTTAAGGCTAAAAGGATTTTTCATGCACAGCATGATAATATCATTGTTCCTTTGAAATATTCGTGTTAATATAATACGAATTAAAGATCGTTATGTGTGTAATGTCAGACTTTTTAACATTAAAATATTTCTAGATGGTCACATAAATGGGATTTACTTCAGACTCCTATTTTAAGCATCATTTCAAAATTTTTATATTGAACAAAATCAAGAAAATTTGAATATAGTGCAAGCTTATGAAGCAAATTGCTTAAATAGTAAATTGCCCATTTATTTAGTTCATAGCTGATTTATTCAGAGCATCTTCTGAATTTATCTGGTTTCAGTTTTAGTGTTTGTTCTTGTGTTGGGTTTTGTGTAGATGGAGTAAGAGCACTCTGGTGCCTTGGGGGAATCTGAACATGTGGCGCCTCCCAATACTGTTGGAGAGCAGCCCCGCCCCTGCCCAGGTTACGCGTTTCAGCTTTCAGGTGTTATCCTTAGGTTGTCTAAAGGTGTCGGAGAAAGCAAACCAGGTTATTGAAAAAAGGCATTAAGTTCCATAAAGGATTAAGAAAAGCATCTATAAGCAAAAGAAAGAGGAAAGTAAGAAAATACATTTCTTTCTAAAGAACTCCTCTGTATTCACAGAAGATATCCTGATAGGTTGAAAGATTGGGCATAGAAAGAGACACGATCACATTATATTAGGGTCTCTAGATGGTGGTTTAATCCCTCCTCTTTCAGATTTAAAACTAGTTTTTACCTTATTATTTAGGAAACATCAAGAAAACTTGGATTCCAGAATAGTATTTTAGTTATAGGAAATGAGTATGACAATTTCTGAGTCGCATATTTCAGGTTGATTTGGGTCCTTAAGTGTTTGGTAGGTCTCTTAAAGCTCTTTGGACCCTGGAATTTGAACTATTGAAAGTTTCGTACCTGGTTCCATTTATTTCATTTATTGCCTAACTTTTTGGCTTCTTTTTCTACTAAAATAATTCTGTGACAAAGACTTGCTGAGAACGCCTGACTGCGACATGTGAAACAGTATAGAATGGTTTCTTTTTTGTGGCTCTAAAAGGTACCAAGACATAATATATAGTGTCACCCAAGTCCATCGTGTCCACACTTATTGCAAGGGTGGCTAAAGGTATGTTATAGTAGGTTTAAAGTGTCCATGGAGTTGAGGAGGCCACTCTCAGCATTCCTGGGTTCCTGGGTCCATTATTCTGTATTTTATAGATTCTGCCAGGGTTTCCAACATTTGCCAAAACCTATATTTTAATGCAAAAATAATACTATTGTGATTTTTAGGACTCTAACTATTGTTTTTCTTTGGATTTTGAAGGCCATCCAGCATCCAGCGGATGAGAAGTTACAAGAAAAGGCATGGGGTGCTGTTGTCCCACTTGTAGGCAAATTAAAGAAATTTTATGAATTTTCTCAGAGGTTAGGTAAGTTGAAAGTTGTGTGATTATGACTTCCCTAGTGAAAAAGACATTTATTGACGACACCGGAAGTAATTTGGAGTATTTTATGTTCACATAGATAAATTAATATGTTCCATTGTGAAGCAAGCTTGTTAGACTGTAGGGTTGCAGCATAAACCTAGTTCTTTATTCAGACCATTGGTCTTGACAAATTATAACTTCCACAAGGAAATCTCTGATTTCTTTGCTGTCTAAAGGGTCCTAGCGTGAGAAACCACTTGGTAGGACATCTCTCCGGCCCTACAGCAAACCTTTCCCACACGCAGGAACTAATCCACAGGCTCTGGGCTGTTTAGATTCTGCTGTTCTGAAAATCATTGCTGATTATGATCAGTTCATGTATCTGACCAGAGCTGTACAAGTTGAGAACTAGGAAGCTAATGGTATACTCAAAGTTATCTATGGAGTTACTAAAGCACAAGGAATCAAACTATTAGCATTTCCCTTGCATGGGAAACTATTGCAAGATCAGAATTGTACCTTCACTGCAATGAGTAAACAAAATTGCAATTCCCTTTCATGGAGAAGGAGGCAGAGGTAAGATTTGGACATTGAACTGTTTGTGTAATTTTTTTTAATTTTTATTTTTTAAAAATCTTTATTGTTGAATGTATTACAGATGTTCCTCATTTTTCCCCCATTGACCCCTTCCTCCCCACTCCTGCCCCCCCTCCCGCCTTTTCCCACACTATTGTCTGTGTCCATTGGTTATGCATATAAGTTCTTTGGTTTATTTCTTCCCACCCCCCAAACCCCTTTCCCTTTGAGGTTTGTCAGTCTAGCAATGAATTTGTACTTCTTAATCCTTTCACCTTTTTCACCCATTCCCCCAACCCCCCTCCCATCTGGCAACCAACAAAATGTTCTCTGTATCTATGAGAATGTTTCTGATCTGCCTGTTCATTTTGTTTGTAGATTCCATTGTTGATAGATATGTATTCATTGCCATTTTGTTTGTTTATATATTTTATCTATTTCTTCAGAAAGACCCTTCATCATTTCATATAATAACGGTTTGGTGGTGATGAACTCCTGTAACTTTTTCTTGTCTGGGAAAATCTTTATATGGCCATCGATTCTAAATGACAGCTTTGCAGGATAGAGTAATCTTGGTTGTAGGTTCTTGCTTTTTATCACTCTGAATATTTCTTGCCACTCCCTTCTGGACTGCAAAGTTTCTTTTGAGAAATCAGCTGACAGCCTAATGGGAACTCCCTTGTAGGTAACTAGCTGCCTTTCTCTTGGTGCTTTTAAGATTCTCTCTTTGTCTTGAACCTTTTGCATTTTGATGATGTGTCTTGGTGTGGGCCTCTTAGGATTCATCTTGTTTAGGACTCTCTGTGCTTTCTGGACTTGTATATCTGTTTCCTTCACCAAGTTAGGAAAGTTTTCTGCCATTATTGTTTCAAATAGGTTTTCGATTTCTTGTTCTCTCTCTTCTCCTTCTGGCATCCGCAAGATGCGAATGTTGGCACGGTTGAAGTTGTCCCAGAGGCTCCTTACACTATCCTCATTTTTTTGGATTCCTTTTTCTTTTTGCTGTTCTGATGGGGTGTTTTTTGCTTATATTCCAAATCAATGGTTTGCTTCTTGGATTTACATACTCTACTATTGAATCTGTGTAAATTATTCTTTATTTCAGTTAATGCCTCCTTCATTTCTGACTGCATCGTATCTGACTGGTCCTTTTTTATGCTCTTGAGGCCCTCACTAAGTTCACTGAGGTTCTCACTAAGTTCATTGAGCATCCTTATAAGTAGTATTTTGAACGCAGCATCTGTTAGGTTGCTTATCTCCATTTCGCTTAGTTCTTTTCTTGGGGTTTTGTTCTGTTCTTTCATTTGGGACCTGTTTCTTGGTCTCATTTTGGCTGCCTCCCTGTGTTTGTTTCTATGTATTACTTAACGAGAGGTATGGGGCTATCTGAGACCAGATGCTGCTTGTTTGAAAGAATTTAGGAAAACCTGAAGCAGGATCCAAGGCAGGCCAATCCTATGGTTAAGCAACTGGCAACAGCTTGGGTGGGCCTGAAGGTTGGGTGGGGTGGGGCGGTGCCTCAGGGAGTCACCAGGGCGGGGCTTCCAGTGTGAGCCAGGTTGCTGGAGTCCCAGATATGGCTTCTGTCTGCCGCCCCAGGGAAGGACTCACCAAAGGAACAAAGGCCTCTGACAGCACGTCTGTCCCGGAGAAAGCCCCCTCCAGTGCCAAACAGCTCAGTTCTTCCCTGTGTGTCTCTGGCGCCCCTTGAGCTGCCTCCCCTCCAAGCTTAGAGGGAGAGAGTCCGATAAGTCCGTGCGCGGGCCCTTTAAGGAGCTGCCTGGGGCTCCAGCTGCCTCAGCCTCCCTGAGCCTCAGTTCCCACTGGTTTTCCAGCCAGAAGTGATGGGGATTCTCTTCCTGGCACTGGGACCCTGAGCGGGGCACCTGGTGTGGGACGGGGACCCCTCAGTCCTCAGGGAGGACCTTCCCAGCCGAGGTGTCCTCCTGATTTTTATCCGCCACACGTGGGTGTGGGACCAGCCCGTCCCCTCCGCCCCTCCTACCAGTCTGGATGTGGCTGCTGCTTTAATTCCGTAGTTGTAGGACTGCCCTTCAGCTTGATGTCAGGCGGTTTTGAATGATGGTTGTTCTGTAGTTTAGTTGTAACTTTGATGTGGTTGTGGGAGGACATGATACCGCATTTACCTACCCGCCACCTTGACTGGAAGTGTGTACTTTTTAAAAAAATATGTCTTTACTGATTTTTTCGAGAGAGAAGAAGAGGGCGGGAGGGAGAGAGAAAGAGGGAGAAACATTGATGTGAGAGAGAAACATCAGTTGGTTGCGTCCTGTATGCACCTCAACTGGGGTCTGAACCTACAACTTGGGCACGTGCCCTGACCAGAAATTGAACCATCAACCTTTTGGTGCATGGGATGTTGCTCAATCAACTTGAACCTCATGGGCCAGGGCTGCTTGTGTGATTTGAAAGGTGTCCATTGGAAGGGCTTTTCTGTGTGCAATTGTGGTAACGGGAGAAGCAGTATAGATATGTCTGGAATTTGAAACATTTAAGTTGAAGTTCTTGACACATTTTATATAGTTTTGGATCTCATTCATATATCTTAAATGAATATATGCAGTTTGATAGGAAACCATACTATAAGGTAGGAGTCACACTGGGGGCTCACAAGGTTAGTTTAGTCCTGAGGTGTAATTTGTTTGACCCATAGTTTTAAAAAATTCCTCATTAATTGCCAGGTTTAAAAATTGATAATTGTTTTATTGTCTTGAAATTGGGCAATTGTTTTTGATACAATCAGTAGCTTAGGCACTAGCTGGTGTGTGTGTCTGTCGGCTGGGAGCTGACTGACAAACCATCTCTGTTCATTACTCAAGGCTTGAGCTTTCGAGGTTGCAGTAGGTTCCTATCGCTCCCTAGTTTTTATACCTAACTTTTCATATTGTTTTATGTTAGCTAGTAGGTTTTTGTGATTGCAATTTTTGCTTTAAAGTTGAAGTTCTTTTTTTAAAAAAAATGCCTATGTTTTTTAAAAGGTAAGAGAATAGCTATTTTTCCTTAGATGCAACATACACTATTAAATGTAAAGGCAAATAATAGTTAAGGTAGGGGTATTTTATAAATCATCCTTTTTCCTACCAGAAATAAGAATGGTAATTTCTTCCCCTAAGTACGATGTCAGTTCTTTCACACTATGTGCCTTTCGGCCAAGTATCTGCCTAGTCTGTAGCTTGGTGGCCTCAGACCACTGGCCCTGGCCTTTTAATCGTGGTGATCTTGACTCCTTCATATTTAGAGGGTTTTTTGTGTTGCTAGTTTCTGGCTGCATTTACAGTTGAATTGCTTTAGATGGTGCTCTGGTCCTACTGGAGCACATTTTGGTCTCTTAGCATTTGCCAGTAAAAAAAGAATAATTGTAAAGTAGTCCAAACCAGTCAGGTGTACGTGTTTTCTTATATTTTACCCAGTAGAATGAAATCAGGCTGCTGCTCTGTTGCCATCAGGTGCTGTGTTCCGTTTACGCACAGGCACATGGTGACGCAGGTATCGATTGCAAAGAGCTGTCGGTTTCCAGGTTGCCGTGTGGAAGCCTCGAACCGTCATCATTGTACTCTGGGGCTTCCATAAAGTTACGAGCAAAGTATGCATTTAAGATCTGATGACTTGCTCATCTCTTGTCTAATAGCCTGGCTAGTGATGTTTCCAGTTTGCTTGCATGCAGGACGCATGCATGTCTGTGCTTGCCTGTGATAGGAGCTCAGTGTGTGTTGAGTGAGTGATGCACTCATGAGTATACACATCTGCTCTATCAAATATGTGTTGGGTATTTAGGAGAGGCAATAAATGGATTTCATGCTTTGGTGGCATAATGGTCTATGTTTGAATTCTGGTGTTTGCTGCTTTTTAGCTGTGTGGTTTTGGCCATATTGCTTAAATTCTCTGAGCTTTAGTATCCTGTCTGGTCCTTCAGTCTGTTGAGTCTTCTGCTTTATGTCCACTAAACCTCTTTTGTCTCTTCTCCTGCCTCAGTGTTGAGCCAGAGATGAGGATCAACACTATAGACAGTACACGGAGCACCACTCAACCATCAGATGAACATGTTCCTTCAGAGTCTTGCAGTCTCAAGGAGAGAGGGTGGCTTGGCCTGAGCTCTGCAGATATACCATGGGGTGTATTCCGGAAGAGGAACCCTGGTTCCTTGCTGGCTTGCATATTTATGGAGAGACACGGAAGGGATCACTGACTGATTTGGAAGATACTTAGCTTTGCTGATAGTGCTTAACCTTGCTGGCCTGGGAAACATCCTGATCTTGCTTGTTTTGGTCTGAGGCCTTCCTGGTTGAAATGTAACCTGAAGGAGGTTATGTGATCAGACAGTAGACAGACTGCTCTGTCTCTCCTCAGTCTTTCTGCCTGCTGTTCCAGGGACTTCCAGGGACCACCTCCAGGGTCTTAATGAGTGAGTTTATCCAACATGTTGACTCCTTTGCACTCTGCTAAATATATCAAAATTAATCAAAAGGTCCCAAAGCACCCACAATAATTGTGGTCATGTCTCCTGGCTGTTTTAAATCTCCACAGACCACATCCTTTGGGTTCTCATCTGAAGATTCAATGACTCATCTTTGATAGTAGATGGGTGGCAGCTGGTGAGAATAAATGGCTTGTCTTTCGAGGGAACTTTCTGCAGGCATCTCCCCTTCCTACTCATTCACTTGTTTCTTTCTCTTCATGCTCTGCCTGTGGACTAATCTGTCTTTGTTATTTCTCCTAGTTTGTCTCTCTTGCAGTCTTCTTATATAGCTTTGGCTTCTGAATTGGTCTACCAGCTAATTTCTTCTAAAATTTAGGGCTTAATAGCACATTCATTTCTTCCTTCTCATCTGCCTTTTCTAAGAATCATAATTATGTGGTTTTGTTTCAGGACTTTCATCAGAGAGACCAATTCCTGTGTCATTTCTTCTTTGACCTCCTTTCTTTTCAGCTCAGCTGGAGGGCTGGCCACCTTCTGGGATCCTCTGTCTTTGATTCCTATCTTGATGCTGGGTGTTTAGGCCAGTAGGACTCTCTCGTATCAGCAGAGGAACCCAAGTCAAGAGGCTGATTTAGCTGCTTCAAAGGCAGATAAGTGTCCTATCATCTTGGTATCCCTTTACAACAGATCTGTCATTGAGAGCTTCAGCCATTCATAGACAGAAGTTCTCTAAGTTCATTGGCCATCCCAACTCAGCTATGTGACCTGAGTCCACCACTAGGGGGCGAGGTCTCCTATCCCCCAAAGTGGTAGAGTGCTTTGAATGCTGAAATTAACCCTGCGACTTGATAAAATCTAGGAAATGCAAAATATTTTTGCTAACAGTCCAGTTTTTTAACAGTATTGATGTGTGTTTTCTTAAGTGGGTTTTTTTCCCTGTTATCTCTTTCAAACTTTGCTTTCCACTTACGCTAACGTTGACACATTGAATGAATCTTGGGAGCATTAAAACATTTTTCAAAGTAGCCCCAAAAATGTTATTCCTCTTAATTGATTTTCACATCCATTTTGCAGCTCTGTGAGCCATCCATGGGCCTAGAATTCATTTTCTTTCTTTCTTGTTTTTTTTTTGTGGTATGTGTCCCTAGCAGGAACCGAACCCGGGACTCTGGTCCGCAGGCCGATGCTCAACCACTGAGCCAAACTGGCCAGGGCTAGAATCCATTTTCCACACTGCGGATGAGGTGGAGAACTTAAATGCTAATCTGATGATATGACTTCCCTGCTTAATTAGTTTATCCAGGGATGTTAGGGTGACAGAGCCAGGATGCTTCCTAGAGCGCACACAGCATGTGCGCGTTGTTTTAGTCTTGGGCTGCTCCATGCGTGTCTGCCCTTCGCATGGGCCTTGCAGCTGAGTGCTGGGCCTTGCAGCTGAGTGCTGGGCCTTGCAGCTGAGTGCTGGGCCATGCAGCTGAGTGCTGCGCCTTGCAGCTGAGTGCTGGGCCTTGCAGCTGAGTGCTGGGCCTTGCAGCTGAGTGCTGGGCCATGCAGCTGAGTGCTGGGCCTTGCAGCTGAGTGCTGGGCCTTGCAGCTGAGTGTTGGGCCATGCAGCTGAGTGCTGGGCCTTGCAGCTGAGTGCTGGGCCATGCAGCTGAGTGCTGGGCCTTGCAGCTGAGTGCTGGGCCTTGCAGCTGAGTGCTGGGCCTTGCAGCTGAGTGCTGGGCCTTGCACTGGCTCTCTGCCAGTGTGTGCACAGTCTTCCTCGTCCTTAGTGGGCACTCCAGTCCCAGCCCAGGCGCCACTCAGGGAGAATTTTTTTGAACCTTTAACTAGGTGAGGTCCCATTTTTATACCTTTCCATTATACCGTGTATTTCTTCTTAACACACATCACAAATATAATAATTTCTCCTCCTTCTCTCTGTATAATAAGGCTCCATGTGGCCATAGGGAACTGTCTACCTTCATCTGTTTCTCCAGTGTCTTGCACATAGTAGACAGTCAATATGTTTTTTGACTTACCTATGAAAAAGGATAATAACTACCATTTGGAGTTATTGTGTGGATAACAAATAATGTCTATGAAGTGTCTAGTTTGGCACCTCACAGACACATAAGAAGTACATGCAATTGGTAGGAATCAGTAGATTAATATTCTGTAAGGTTATGGAAGGCCAGGTAGAATGCTGCTTTATCTGAGAGAAGACTCACTGTGTGGCAAAGAGCGGGCTGTAGAGTCTGAAATACTTGGCATTTATTTATAGCTCCCCCCATGGGCTCTGACCTCCTTGAAACTCAGCGTATCATCCGTGACACTCATGTCACACCTGATGGGGAAAGTTAGGTGAGAGACTGGGTAAGCTCAGTATGGATGATGGTTCATTATTAGGTCTTCATGAATAGTAGAGCTGGTATTGGGTTGATAATCTGACAAATGTATTATCACTGAGAAATATTTGTTTACTAATCTGACACTTATTCGTTAATGTCAGCTCACCATCTGACTCTGTAAGCTGTTTCTCTGAATAGAATCTAGCATTGTTTTCTGGTTCTGTAATCTGTAACTGAATTAATTTGGTTTCTATAACTTTTTTTGAATGAAATATCACTATTTCCATTTTCAAACATAGTATTTATTAGCTTGGCATTCCAAAAGTAGCACTTATTTTAAAGGGACTGTTTTACTTACATAATGAATTAGGATATTTATAGTATCATCCTGAGATGCCAGATTTTTAAGAAACTCAGAAAACTAATGATTAAACCAAAGATTTTGTTTCCCTTAGTAGCTAAAAGAAAGCAGTTTCTATTTTTAAATAAACAGCCTATTCAAAGTATGAGAAGTTGGTCATTTGTTTGTAGCCATGGACAGATTTGACCATGTGGACACAGGACCACTGCAGAATTTACTTAACTGTGGGTAACAATGACCAATTCATAAAAATAGATGGTTAATATAGTATAAAATGTGCCCTTTGATCCTGGTATTTAATTCAGATTACATTTTGCATTATTTTGAATTTGAGTTTATAGAATTAAAACATTGAATTAGTCTCTGGAAGGTTTTAATTGTATTAAACAGTATTCAGTTTGAGTGATTGTATTTAGATAATCTGGATTTTTTTTTTTTTCTTTTTATTCTCACCCGAGGACATTTTTCCATTTTTTGTTCAGGTAGAGTGGGAGGGAGAGAGAGGAAGAGAGAGAGAGAGAAACATCAATGTGAAAGGGACACATTGAGTGGCTGCCACCCGCACAACCGACCAGGGCTGGGGACAAACTGCAACCGAGGTACAGGCCCTTAGCGGGAACCGAACCCAGGTCTCTCAGGACCGCAGGCGGACGCTCTAACCGCTGAGCCAAACAGGCCAGGGCGATAATCTGGATTTTAAAGAGAACTTACTTTTTATGGGAATTGAAATTGTAACATCTATAATTTGCTCACTTTCTAATAAACATCAGGAGATACGAACTACATTTCAGTCTTTCTTCTTTAGAAGCAGCGTTGAGAGGGCTTCTGGGAGCCTTGACAAGCACTCCGTACTCCCCCACCCAGCACCTCGAGCGGGAGCAGGCTCTCGCCAAGCAGTTCGCCGAGATCCTTCACTTCACACTCCGCTTCGACGAGCTCAAGGTAGGTGCCTGCTGGCCTGGGCCGTGTGACATCAGGAGGCCTTGCTAACACGTGTCTGGGTGGCACCTGCGGCTCCTTCGCCAATGTGGAGCCCTGGGTCTAGGTGATGGCAGGTCTTTCCATGCAGGCACGGCCACGCCCACTTTCAGTCTTCAGAGATCAGAACGTCTCTGAAACAGCAAGGCTGACCCTTCTGATGTGCTTTTCTTCTATGCCCACCCCCAGTTCATCTTAACTTTCTTTCATATGAAAATGTTAAAATGTCCCCCTCATCCCCATCAGCCTGCCTGCCTCCTGTTGCTGGACGGAGGGAGTGTGTAGACACAGGCCCTGGGCCTCCTGTTGTTGGACGGAGGGAGTGTGTAGACGCAAGCCCTGGGCCTCCTGTTGTTGGACGGAGGGAGTGTGCAGACGCAAGCCCTGAGCCTCCTGTTGTTGGACGGAGGGAGTGTGCAGACGCAAGCCCTGGGCCTCCTGTTGCTGGACGGAGGGAGTGTGCAGACGCAAGCCCTGGGCCTCCTGTTGGACGGAGGGAGTGTGCAGACGCAAGCCCTGGGCCTCCTGTTGCTGGACGGAGGGAGTGTGTAGACGCAAGCCCTGGGCCTCCTGTTGCTGGACGGAGGGAGTGTGTAGACGCAAGCCCTGGGCCTCCTGTTGCTGGACGGAGGGAGTGTGCAGATGCAAGTCCTGGGCCTCCTGTTGTTGGACGGAGGAAGTGTGCAGACGCAAGCCCTGGGCCTCCTGTTGCTGGACGGAGGAAGTGTGTAGACGCAAGCCCTGGGCCTCCTGTTGTTGGACGGAGGGAGTGTGTAGACGCAAGCCTTGGGCCTCCTGTTGCTGGACGGAGGGAGTGTGTAGACGCAAGCCCTGGGCCTCCTGTTGCTGGACGGAGGGAGTGTGCAGACGCAAGCCCTGGGCCTCCTGTTGTTGGACGGAGGGAGTGTTAGACGCAAGCCCTAGGCCTCCTGTTGTTGGACGGAGGGAGCGTGCAGACGCAAGCCCTGGGCCTCCTGTTGTTGGACGGAGGGAGCGTGCAGACGCAAGCCCTGGGCCTCCTGTCTGGGCCCGAGCCGCACGTCAGGCTGGTCACAGCAGCAGGTCCTTGACTTTCCAGGGCCTTGGGTTCTGAGTCATAGACAACTCTTCTATTAATACTTTTAGCACAAATGATTTATGTATAAAATTTTAGTCTCTCTGAAGATTGTCCTGTTTACCGTGAATGCGCACTTTTGTTATAATTCCAAAACAAGTACCTACAGAGTTTTTCTTGTTTTTGTGTATTTGGTAATACTATTTTTTGGCAAACCACCTTTTAATGTATTATGTAAAATTTTAGAAAAAAAGAAGGGGCCCAGCCTGTGTGGCTCAGTAGATTGAGTGTTGTCCCATGGACTGAGAGGTCACTGGTTCAGTTCCCAGTCAGGGTACGTGCCTGGGTTGTGGGCTCGATCCCTAGTGGAGGGCATGCAGGAGGCAGCCGATCCTTATTTCTTTCTCACATCGATGTTTCTATCTCTCTTTCCCTTCTGCTTTCTCTAAAAAATCAATAAAAAACGTATTTTTAAAAAATTGTTATAAAAAAAATAAGGAAGGGAAATATACTGACCATGACTAAAAAGCAGTTGGTACAGTTTCATGTGTGTGGCAGAGACTGAGTATGCTGTTAACATGATTCAGGTGTGTAGAAGCCATCTTGGTGTTGCCAGTTTCAGTTATTAAAATGTTATTACAAACTGGGAATGTTACTTAACTAGCTAAAACTGTTTTTAGTAGATTTTCACTAAATGTATACAGTATCACTACATGCTACATTTTTCTTTGGTGACTGTCCTCGTTAGATGACAAATCCTGCCATACAGAATGATTTCAGCTACTACAGAAGAACATTGAGCCGCATGAGGATTAATAATGTCCCGGTAAGTTAACACTTTGATCAGGGGTGGTAATAACAACTCTCTCAGCTTGTTCAGTTTGTTCTTTCATTTGTTCATTTGCTCATTCTGATGAAGTTAAAGCTAGTAATTAAGTTAGTAACTATGGGCAACCACAGCTGCGAGAAGAAAGACCAAAATGTAGCAAGCCATATGGTGCTGAGCTTTTCTCCCCCACTTTTCCCCTTCGATTCCTATGACTCCTTCAATACAATTATTTTTTGTCCATATAACATTGATACTTAACCAGATTTCTCTGTGTATTCTCATTTTAACCGCGTAGTAATTTGTGAGTTAGCGGTTGTTAGTGTGAGTTAGTGAGTTAGTGGTCCCCACATTCTTAGAATGGAAGACCCCTGGGGAGGAGTTGGCCTGGGGCTGGGAGCACACAAATGCTGCCAGAGGGGAGATCGAGGGCGTGGGCTGGGCACTTCTGTGCCTTTCCTGGCTGGCATAGCGGCTCTTCTGGTTTCTTCAGGCTTCTGAGCCTCTTGGCTGTTCCTCATCGTAAGCTGTTTGGTACCCTTTCTACTTCCGAGGAGTCAATTCCATAAGTAAACCTTAAGTAGGAAGCAATACTATCTTTTCCTCTAGGTATTTTGAGGGCCTACATTGTATGGAAATCAGAGAAACTTCTAGGACCAGCCCCAGCCTCTTTAATAAAGAAATACTTTATAAGTAAGTAAAGAGTGCTGAGTAGATACGAGGTTAAAAAAAATACCAAAGGAGACCATTCTTTTTTTTTTTTTTTCCTCTTCATCGACTATTTTGTGATGTGGTTGTTCCGAAGACAGGCCCTGGGTTGGAGGGAAGATTTCTTTTCCAAGAAGTATCTGTTCTTTGCCTCAGTTAGATTTTGCATAGTTCAGTTTCTGCTGTGAGCCTGTAAAATAAAACAAAAGCAGAACACCTAGTTCTCTACTGTAGCCACCCTGCCATCACTCAAAGCCTAAGACACTCAAGTGACCTTTTACTGTCTTGCACCGTCATAATTATAAGCAAATCCGGTCCTCGCTGAGGGAAATGCCTCAGAATCTGTCTGTTTCACTTGCTAACACTTCTGCCCAGATGGAAGCTGACTCCCTCTTCCTTTCTGTAGTCATTCTGTGGCAGTAGAGCTCCTTTTCTGGCCTGCAGTCTTTGTCCTTTATAGTGCACTCTGCCCACTGTCATCAGTTAACTTTCTTTAGAAAATGGACTGTTGTCATTTCCTTTTTCTAATTCTTAAAGTGGTTTATCGTCATGGACAGAAGGTCTTAAGCTGCATTTAAGGCCCTCTCCAGCCGGTCCCCACCTTGCTTTCCAGCCTGGTCCCCACTAGTTGCTGCGTCTGGTTACACTAAGTACACTGATGACATGGAATCACACTCTTCCCAGCCATTAGAGAACGTGCTCCCTCCTCCCGACTCGGTGCACCTGCGTCACCACCTGCCACAACGTAACTCTTCTGCGAGTCCTCTGCAGTTTCTTCCAGCCCAGCAGCCTCTCTCACCCCTTAGCATGTTACTGCGGAGGCTCAGGTGTTCCCAGGGGGACAGGGTGTGATGTCATAGTCATCTTCCTGTCTTCCAGAGCAGTTAGAATAACCCCGGAAACAGAAGGCAGCCTGTCAATGTTTTATTTCATTGCTTATTTTTAAAGAAGTTACCTATTTTAAGAAATTGCTTGATATCATTTTTAATATTTTGATTTTTAAAGAATACTTGAAGGCCTAAAACATGATTTTAGAGTATTTATTAGATCAGTAAGCATTAATGAGACAGGTACTCTACCCAAGTCCTTTTATAAGTGAGATCATATTTAATAGTTTATAAGTTGATGATCAGCCCTGGCTGGTTTTGCTCAGTGGTTAGAGCGTCAGCGTGTGGACCGGAGGGTATGGGTTTGATTCTGATCAAGGGCATGTGCCTGGGTTTCAGGTTTGATCTCTGGCTCTGGTTGAGGTTGTGCGGGAGGCAACCAGTCAATGTGTCTCTTTCACATAGATGTTTCTCTCTCTCTCCCTTCCACTCTCTCTAAAAATCAATTTAAAAATATCCTTGGGTGAGGATTAAAAAATAAAAGTAAAAAAATAAGTTGATGCTCAGGTGCTCTTATTTTCCACAGGCAGAAGGAGAAAATGAAGTAAATAATGAACTGGCAAATCGAATGTCTTTGTTTTATGCCGAGGCAACCCCGATGCTGAAAACCTTAAGTGATGCCACAACAAAATTTGTATCAGAGGTGAGCATCTGCTAGGACGTTTTTCTGCATTGTTACTCTCTGCCTGTCTGCAGATCCAATGCTCGCGGCAACACCACTCTGAGCAGGTGACTCCCAGATGTGTACACTGAGTGCTGTCCCGTTCCCTGAGGCCCACGTGTGCACATGTACCTGCCTGTTTGCAGCTTCCCTCTGGTTGTGTAGTCGACACCTGGATGGTGTTGTGACCAGAGTCTCGATGTTTTCCCAGCCTTGCCCTTTGCCGTCTCTCTGTCTCGGTTAATAGCTCCCCTGTACAGGCAGACCTCGTGTTACTGTGCGTCACCGTCCTGTGCTTCACAGTGCTGCATTTTTACCAGTTGACGGCAAGACCTTTCACCAGTTGAAAGGTTATGACTCGCTTTATTGAGTTGTCTGGAACGAAACTCGCAGTATCTTTGGGGTCTGCCTATACAAGCAAATGACTTATGGTTTCTTACCTGAAGTTCCTTTCTTGACCTTACCCTACGTCCACTCCATCAGACAGTCTCATGGCTCCCTCTCCAAAACACACGCCGAGTGACAACCGAGTCCCTCCCTTGCTCCCTCTCACCTGCACTATTTGTTCTGCTGTGACTCCTCTCGTGCCCTCCGTCGTCCTTTGTCCAGAGGAAAGCCAAGTAGTCTTCTTAAAGCATAACCACATTCCCTTCCTCCTCCGCCTGGAATGCTTGCAGTGACTGCCCAGCACTGTTGAGATGGAATGAATCCACATTGCTCCTGGTCTCCAGGCCCGGCTGCCCCTGTGGCTGTTTCCACCAGCCCGAGTGCCGGCGCCTGCTGGAGAGCGGGCCTCGGCGGTGTCGTCGCAGCTGTGTCCCTAGACGTTAGAGCAGTGCCTGGAATCTGACACATTTTGTACAAAATGAAGAGTAGGAGCCAAATATTGAAGTTGCCAGTTTTTCATGTTATGTTAGATTTTAAATTATACCTATGTAATAACTGTCACTTTTACTCTTCTGTTGTCCATACACCTTTACAGAATAAAAATTTACCGATAGAAAACACCACAGATTGCCTAAGCACCATGGCCAGCGTGTGCAGAGTCATGCTAGAAACACCGTGAGTATCAGCTGGCCTCTCACCTGCATAGACCTGTTGAAATGGTTGTCCAGAGAGGACATGTCGTATGTAGAGGTGGAAGTTAAGTGTATCCAGGTAACCAATATTAACGTGAACAAAATTAAAGTAACTTGGCAGCTTCGTGTAACTTCCAGTAAATGTCTTTCTAGCTGCTTTTCAGGTGCCTCAGATCAGGCAGACTCACTCAGACTCTTCATAATGGGGATTTTCCGCTTTTTTGGGGGGTGGGGGCAGGAAGGGGAAGAGTTTTCTTTTGGATTTGTTTTTTGTAAAGATTCTCTCCCTTTCAGTGAAGAACTTTGCCTCACTCTTCTGCTTATCCCTTTCTCTCAGTCTGAGTTCTCGGCCTTCATCTTTTCCAAAAGTCACCTGCACTCTCTGCTGGGTCTCCTCTCTCAGAGCATTGGTGATGGTACCACATGTTCTCTGGCTGGACTCCCGTCCCAGGCAGAAAGAATCCATCCTGGGTTCTGATGCATAGTTTTACTAGGTAACTTTCATTTCTGGGGAGCTTTTGATTTCCCAGAGCTCTCTTATATACACCATCTTCCTAGAAACCTTAGGAAGCAGGAGGGAAACCCTTCCTCCTCCTCCTCCTCCAGGAGTGAGGCGGCCTGTGCACAGTGACCGGCCCACACAGTGCCTGGACGTCTTCATCCCGGCCCTGCACTCTGCTGGGCCCGAGGCCTTTCATAGAGACCAGGTTCTCTCTCCTTTTTCCCAGGTGAGAGAATAATATGGTCGAATTTTAGAAAATGAAAGTCCTGTAATACAAGTCAGCCCCAGGCACACTTAATCTATTAAGCTAATGACTTTTTAATTTTAATTTTAATTTTTTATCCTCACCTGAGGACATTTTTCCATTTTTTTGTTCAGATAGAGTGGGAGGGAGAGAGAGGAAGAGGGAGAGAGAGAAACATCGACGTGAAAGGGACACATCGAGTGGCTGCCACCCGCACGACCCAACCAGGGCCGGGGACAAACTGCAACCGAGGTACATGCCCTTAGCGGGAACCAAACCCGGGTCTCTTGGGACCTCAAGCTGAAGCTCTAACCGCTGAGCCAAACCGGCCAGGGCTAAGCTAATGACTTTTTTAATCATGCTGGTGATAACAGCCTTTCCAAAGCACCTATTCCCAAACGTTTACTTTGGGGCTTCTTTGGATTTCTCTAAAATTGTCTGATCTCTGCTAGCAGAAGGGGTAATAGACTAAGGAGCTTATAGAAACCGTAATATGTAAGTGCTCACTGCACCACACGCCTCCTGTGTGAAGTCGTTTGTCTGGAAGAGGGTGTGGAATGTTGGCATCCCTTTTAGAGATTAACAGGTGTGTCTTCCAGCATCACCTTGATGGTGAATCAGCTCGTTAATTTGTGACGTGCCTCATCCATCTTTGTCTGTTCCACCCTCCAGGGAATACAGGAGCAGGTTTACAAACGAAGAGACGGTGTCGTTCTGCTTGAGGGTAATGGTGGGCGTCATCATACTCTATGACCATGTACATCCCGTGGGAGCATTTGCCAAAACCTCAAAAATCGATGTAAGTCACATTGTTTTGTATAAGTCCCAACAATTTCCGTAGTTGAAAGTCAGGCTTTCCTTTAAGGAGCTGGTGCCTGCACTGTCACAGAGCCGGGTGGCAGTTGGTGGGTGGTGGGTTTGGTCTGCTCTGCCCTCGCCGTGTCTCTACAGGCTGTGACCGGGGCGGTGGAATGATGGAAGGAAACCATATATTGTCTTTCAGGGAATGTCCTTGTAGGGAAACCTCACACTCATAAGGGTCCCTTCTGTGCATTGGGCAATATAAATAATCAGACATAAGAAAAAAAAATTATTGTATCTCTTCATTCTTTTGACCAAAGGCCATTTCAAACAAAAGATTTGTTTTCAAATATATGGGGTAAGGCAAAAGTAGGTTTACAATCAATTCTGAGTACGTGAAACACGGAGTTTATTCTTGTATTAATTATTAGTTGGTTGTATTATTTTCCGTGTGAACAACTGTAACCTACTTTGCCCGGCCTGTATTGAAGCATCAGTAGAGGTGCTCCAGTGAAAAGTTGAAGATTCACGTTTTCCCTCCTCCTCCCAGCATTGTAGGCTGTGGCTCTAGCCTGGGTTACTCTGTCTTGTCATGTCTTTCCTCGCCCTCTCGTGTCTTCCAGTTTCCCTTCCACGGCTGGTTCAGGCTGTCAGCATTGCCTGTCTAGTTTACTGATTGATTGTCTTCATTGGTATCCACTTGTGGAAAGAGAAATGTGTTCATATATTGAGCGATTACCGTGCCCCAGGAATTTTACATTTATTCTTTTATTTAACTCAGGAAACACTCCTGATGTAGGTGGGTGGTACCTTCCCTGTACTATGAGAGAAGCGAAAGTGTAGGGAAATTAAGCAGTACAACTGCTAGTGGGTGGTGGAGTCGGATTTCGAGCCCACATCTCCATGGCTTCCGGAGCCTGCGGCTTTCTGCCACGCGAGCCCTTCACCGCGCCAGGCGCTTTCTGCAGTGTCGCCCTCACTGACCGGTTCCCCTCCCCAGTAGCCTGTGCAGAGCCTGCTGCCCCCCAGCTTCAAGGCCTCCTGCAAACTCCCCTGTGGGCGGCACTCAGCTCCTGAGACTGTCCTCTGCGTGCAGCGCACCGCCCTTTGTCACGGTCCATCCATGCAGAGCCCCCTTTCCCTTCAGGGGATCACTTCATCCTCTAACAGGCCACGCAGCCGCTGTCAGCCATCTCCCCTTAGCTGACCCCAGGTTTTCTCCTTAGTGTGGGTGACGCTTCAGTTTGACTGATTCGGTTCTTTAAAAGTTTTCTGTGACTGACAAACTGAAAATAAGACTGATTAGATTTTTCTTTTTCTGTATTAAGAATAATTACATTTCTAGCGTGATTTCTCATGAGTTTTGTATTTATAGTGCTCATTTAAAGTATTACTATTTTGAAAGTGAATCTTAGATGAAAAGACAGATGTTTCACCTTTCCTGTTTTCTTTTCTCCTTAGATGAAAGGTTGTATCAAAGTTCTTAAGGACCAACCTCCTAATAGTGTAGAAGGTCTTCTCAATGCTCTCAGGTGTGTATACGTACGTGTCCATGTGGGTCGGAAAGTACATGAAGGAAAGTGTTCAGAGTGTGACTAGCACACAGGATATGAATGTAAACGTTTAAGTTAGAAATGTAAAGATCTGGTTTTGCTTGTTATTGACATTGCTTCAGATATTGGTTACAGTATCTTTAGTGTGTGGTGTGTGTGTGTGTGTGTGTGTGTGTGTGTGTGTGTGTAATGAGAATAATACCTTTATTTTTTGCTAAAGAGTTTGGTTTTCACCCTTTGCCCCTTTTGAAGCAGAAGTTGCTTATTTACAATGCAGGGTTTTTTCTTTACACTTGGGTATAGTCACAGCTCTGTAAAATAGTTATCTTTTCTCAGCTGAGATTTACTTGTTTACTGAAGCTCCTAAGAATGAAATTTTGGCACCTCATAATGGCTTGACTAATCTAATCTCTATCTTATAGACTTAATTGGTAGTATAATTTTCTTGACATTAAAGATGGTTGTCATACTATTTGACTTTTTGTTTTGTGAATCCTCACCTAAGGATATTTTTCCCATTGATTTTCTTTTGCGAGAGTGGAAGGTAGGGAGGAATGGGGGAGAGAGAGACATCAAAACATCGATTGGTAGCCTCCCGACCTGGGCAGGGGATCACACCTGGCCTGAGGACTGCAGGGAGCTCTGATCACACCATCAGAGGCGTGAGATCTGGTGTCTGGGCGGAGAGAGGAGCACTCACAGCTCTTAGCATGTCGCTGAGCACTGAGATTTCCAGCTTCTGTGCGGCAGAAATTGTGCACCTCCCTCGGCGTCCTCCACCGTACGTTGGGTGAAGGGAGGGACAGTGCTTACTTCTCGACATCAGTAGGATCATGTGTGACTATGTATACTTTATATGCCCTTGGGAAACAAAGCAGAAAGGTTAAGTCTTTGCTCCATCCCTGTCACTTACTGTAAATGTCCCTTTATGGGCTCAGGCTTCAGCCTGGCTGCTGCCCTTCTTACCTCCCTAACACGCAGGCGCTGACTGAGCGCCAGGACTCTGGTGTCTCTTCTGAAATAGGAGAAACTTTTGAAGTGACTTCTAAGTAAAATTTTAGAATTTTATCAGGTACTTAATAAGCATATGTTTATCTCTTTACCTGTGTAAGCATTTACTTGAGTTCAGAAATGTCTTTTTTTTTTTTTTTAATCCTCATCTAAGGATATTTTTCCATTGATTTTTTTCCCCTTTTTTTTCTATTTAGATAGAGTGGGAGGGAGGGAGAGAGAAACAGAGAGAGAAGAGGAGGGATAGAAACATTGATGTGAGAGAGACACTTCAATTGGTTGGCTCCTGCACGATCCCAGCCAGGGCCAGGGCTGGAACCGCAGTGAGGTACTCCCCTTGCCCGGGAGTCAGACCTGCGCCTCTGGTCTGTGGATCGCTGCTCTAACTGCTGAGCCAAACCGGCCAGGGATATGTCTTCGATTTCTAAACTGATTTGAAATGAACCTAACAAAAATGGAGTTTAAATTTCTTTACCCCAGAGAGTCAGTGTGTGTGTTTCTGCCTAAAATGATATGTATCTTAAAGATGACCAACTGTGAAATTCTTGTAAGCCAAATGAACTGGTTCAACGTTAAGTTCTGTCTGAAATATCTCCCAAATATATCCCATCAAGAACTGAGCACTATTCCCATTGCTCCCACTCTGGCCCAGGCCTTGGTTCCCTAGACCCTGGTCACAGCACCCAGTTGGTCCCCCTGCTGCTCCTGCTGCGCCCTGCAGCGCTCCCTCCGCAGCCACAGCGACCCTTCGGAACGTCAGTGAGATCGCACACGCCCCTGCTCGCTGTCCTGCACGCTTTCACTGCCCTCGGAGCGACCTCCTCAGTCCGCATGTGGCTGGCAGTGTCTGTGGCCTGGGATTCCTGGCCTTGTGCCTCATCGGTGCTCCCCCCTTTGCACCTAGGTTGACCCTTCGGTGTGCGTGTGTCCTCTTTCTTCCCCGCGAGCTTGCGGGCTCCTGGAACCGTGCCTGACGTGTGGTAGGCTTGCTGGTTGGATGTCTGCTCCTACAGGGATCCTATGGCGGATCTTCTCAGCAGATATGAAGCACGCTTAGTGATCCTTTTTAGATTCTGAATTTGTGTTCACATACTTCCAGCAAAGCACACCTGCCTGGACATAAGGCACTTAGAGGACTGGGACGTTTGGGGGTGACGGAACTGTTGTAAGGACGGAGTGACTGGAACAGGGCTGGAGAGGAAGCACATGTTTAGGCGTGTGGGCCGCTGCTCTCCGTGGCAGCCACCGCACTCCGTGGTTCGCGGGAACTCCATGGTCGGTGTGGCTGTGTTCCAGGAAAACTAACAATCCCGTTCCGTGCGATTTCCGTTTAACATGAGGTATTAACATGAGGTATTATTCTTCATTTGACTTTTTTCCTCCAGTCATTTAAAAATGTAGGAATGTGCTTAGCGCACAGGCCATACAGAAACAGGTGGTCGGTTAGATTTGGCTCAAAGGCTGCAGTTGGCCGGGCCTGAGTCAGAACCACTCCTTTCCCGAGTGAGAACTGCAGCCAGTTGTTCACTTCAGAACGTAGGCAGCTGGGTTCAATGAGGTGGCTGGAACCAACCTGGCCCCCGGCCGTGCCGCCTGGACAGCGCAGGGCACAAGCCCGAGGGACCCGAGCAGGGCGGGAGCTGGGCAGAGAGGCTGCCATTGCGAGGGAGGGTGGCCTGGCCCGTTGCCCAGCTTGTCGCCGTGGAACCCGGGGCAGATAGCGGGTTTTTCATTCCCTAACGTGCGTGTTTTCCACTTTCAGGTACACAACAAAACATTTGAATGATGAGACTACCTCCAAGCAGATTAAGTCCATGCTGCAATGACACCTGGCGCGGCCACCTGCGCTGCGGAGACAGTCTGCAGGCTGAGGACCAGCTCCAGTGACCGCGTCACTTCTCATCTACTCGCTTGTTTTCTCCCTCTGTTCCTCTGCCCTTTTTTAATCATGTTCTTGTTCTTAAGACTTCTTTTCTGTGCCAAAATCAGTCAAGTTATCTTCTGAAGGGACATTGTCCTTTCAACGGGCCGTCTAAGGCAGCTAATTATGCATTGCATTGGGGTCTCGACAGAAATTCTGTGACTTGAACTAAATATTTTTAAATGTGGATTTTTTTTGAAAACTAATATTTAATATTGCTTCTCCTGCATGGCAAAACTGCCTATTCTGCTATTTAAAAACCCTCGATGACTTTATTTTCTACTGCCGCTTTTTCACGTGCAGCCAATGGAAATGTTAAATTAATTGTGTTGTACAGATGGTACCCAACACACACTTTTTTTAAATTAGTAAGACTTTTGTTCAAAGTTTTAAGTTTGCATTTTGACTTTTTTGTAAGGATGTATGTTGTGTGTTTAACCTTTATTAACTAACGTTAAAAACTGTGATGTGTGCGTAGAGTATTACGTATGCATGTTCCTGTTTAAAGAATGGCTGTTGATGATACAATAAAAATCAGCTTTCATTTTTCTAAGTGTGGCTTGGTTCACTGAGGTTTGGTTCGGGCTTCTACAGCTCTCCCGGTGTATATTTTTATGAAATGCATATACACTTTACCGGATTTCCCTTTTAGGATGAAGCTGGGTCTTTTCAACAGTGTTTTCCTCTATTACTGTGAACGTGTACCCAGTTTCAGTTGCTTTTAAAATCTTGCCAAGTGCAGTGAGACCGGTGGTCTTGTCGTTCACTTGACTTTCATCCTTGTTCACCTCATGGGGACGTAGTCACCGAGGGACAGGTCCGCTCCTGGTCTGTGTTCCCCAGAGGGAGAAGGAAGCGGTGTGGAAGGAAGAACAGCCCTTCGTGCTGGGAGGAGGGTGAGGAGAAGGGGGACGTCCCGGGAAGCCGAAGGCCGTGATCTCAAGTGGAAAACACCTTCATATTTGACACCTGAATGCATGCAGGGCTGTCTAGTCCACGCACGGTGGAGGTTCAGTGGGAAGAGAACCCGCGCTGACGCCGTGAGGAGGCTTACCTGTGGAAGGGGGGCCCCAAGGCTCCACGCAAGCCGCCCCCAGGAAGCCCAGCCGGCCTGCTCCTGCGCGCTCCACGCACCGCCCGAGCGGCTCAGGCTTGCTGTTCCCGTGGCTGCACGCGGGGCCCCAGCCTGTCATCCCCCCTCACACCCAGCGACGAACAACAACGCTCATCTCTGGAGGACCAGCCTTGGGGGTAACAATGGCCACGTTCTTCTAGGCAGCGGAGAGGATCGTCCTGGGTTACATCGGGAACCCCACAGGTATGCCTACTCAGCCTGAAGTGGGACCTCTGGGGAAAAGGTGTTTTGAGATGAAATTAAGGCCTGTCGTTAAGAGCACCCGGATAGAGTGGGTGAACTCAGCTCTTCCCCAGAGGAGGGGCGCATCGAGAGCAGAGGCGGCGGAAGGAGGAGGGAGGCCGGAGCCATCTCCGCGCCAGGGACGCAAGGACTGCTGGCGGCCGCCAGTGCCCGACCGAGTCTCCCTCGGCCTCCAGAGGGAGCCGAGCCTGCCGACCCCTTGACTTCAAACTTCTGCCTCCCGGGCGGCCCCCGACAACCAACCCCTGTCCTTTCAAGCCGCTCGTGGTAACTCGTCAAGGCAGCCCCGAGAGTCTCTACAAGTTTCTCATCCAGCACCTTCGATGTTTAGCTGCCCTTGCGGGTCGTTTTTCTTATCTTCTGAGAGCTCGAGAGAAGAGCTGTGGTTGCTGTGCCCTCAGTGCCCCGAGGATCCGGCATCGCACCCGAATTCCAGGTGTTGCAAGTGAATGAGCCGGGTGGACAAGTGGAAACAGGCATGACGCAGCGGGAATCCGGGGCCCTGCAGGGGCCTGTGCCCTTCGCCCAGCGCGCACGCGCACAGAGATGACGCAGCGGGAATCCGGGGCCCTGCAGTGGTCTGTGCCCTTCGCCCAGCGCGCACGCGCACAGAGATGACGCAGCGGGAATCCGGGGCCCTGCAGTGGTCTGTGCCCTTCGCCCAGCGAGCACGCGCACAGAGATGACGCAGCGGGAATCCGGGGCCCTGCAGGGGCCTGTGCCCTTCGCCCAGCGAGCACGCGCACAGAGATGACGCAGCGGGAATCCGGGGCCCTGCAGTGGCCTGTGCCCTTCACCCAGCGCGCACGCGCACAGGGATGACGCAGCGGGAATCCGGGGCCCTGTAGGGGCCTGTGCCGATCACCCAGCACACACAGGGATGATGTCCCGGGAATCCGGGGCCCTGCAGTGGCCTGTGCCCTTCGCCCAGCGCGCATGCGCACAGGGATGACGCAGCGGGAATCCAGGGCCCTGCAGTGGCCTGTGCCGATCACCCAGCACACACAGGGATGATGTCCCGGGAATCCGGGGCCCTGCAGGGGCCTGTGCCCTTCGCCCAGCGCACTCTGCATGTGGGAGGACATGGGAGAATATCCACCTCTGCACCCAGGTTCGCCAGCTGGTCTGCGGCCGGTCCGCCCAAACCACCTGTTTCTATGAACTAAGAAGAGTTTTTATATTTTTAAAAGGTTGAAAAAAATCAGTTGACCACTATTCCATGGCATGTTTAAAGTACGTGAAATTCAAATTGCAGTGTCCAGAAATAAAACTTTATTGGAACACAACCTTGCTCATTTGTGCATTATTTTGGGCTACTTTTTCGCCACAGCAGTAGAATGGCATTTTTGTGGCTGAGGCCGAATGGCCTTCAGAGGCAAAACATTGACCCTTCTGGCCCTTTGCAGAAAGAATTTGCTGATCCCTTCACTAATGACAAGAGCAGGTTAATTTGAGAACCTTGTGTGATAGAAACAAGTGACAGCGTTATAAATGGAGCTGTCTCTGTGGCCAAGAGTGGATTTAATTTTAGGACTAATATCTGCCATTCAGGTAGCTAAATAGAACAGATAGACATCTTCTCACCTGACAGATGTGACCGCAGTTCTTGTCAGTCCTTAAAATAAAGGACTGTGGGCCTGGCCACGGGCTCATCTGGAAAGAGTGTGCTAACCAGCAGGGTCTGCCCTGCTGATGCTTGGGGGAGGCGTCCCACCCTCCGTGTAGGTAAGTCTTTGATCACCAAGCCTCCTCCCTTCACCCCCTGTTACCTGTGAATCATCACTATCTCAGCCCAGTTCTTGTGGCCCTTCCTTCATGACACTCAGTGTCCACCGCATCCTGTTTTCCACCAGCTGGCCACGATTGTTCCACCAGCGCCCATTTCTGCCGAGATGAGTCAGACTTTCCTGGCCGCTGTTTCTCACTCCGGAGATTGGGGTTAAAAAAGCACTTGAGACTGCTTTAAGATTGCTCCAAGTCTTTCAGACTTGGCATAAGAATAATTACATTTGTGCTCAAATCTATGTTTTGTTTTGTTTTTTTAAATCTTCACCGGAGGATATGTTTTCATTGATTTTAGAGAGAGATGAAAGAAAAGGGAGAAACATTGGTCGGGAGCCTCCCGGACCCACCAAATGTGTTTGGGACAACGCGCCAACCAAGTGAGCACACCAGGCAGGGCAAACCCAAGTCTTCTGAGTTGAAGTGCTATCTGGTTCCTTTGGAGATGGCAGTGACCACCATTCCAGTAACGCTTATAAAACAATTCCTTACAGAGCGTACTTCAAAGTTGTGAAGTACTGTGATCATCGAAGATGGAAAGGTCTGCTGTTAAGACTCAGGAAACTCGCCCTGGCCGGTTTGGCTCAGCGGTTAGAGCATCAGCCCATGGACCATAGAGTCCCCGTTAGGTTCCCGCTAAGGGCACGTACCTTGGTTACAGTTTGTCCCCGTGCCCAGTTGGGGTCGTGTGGGTGGCAACCAGTCGATGTGTCTCTCTCATCTCGATGTTTCTCTTCCACCCTCTCTCTCCCTCATCTATCTGAAGATAAATGCAAAAAGGTCCTTGGGTGAGAATAAAAAAAGAAACAAAAAAACCCCAGCCACGTGGCCTATTTCCGGTGTTGTGTCCATTCACGTGAAGTGTTTTCTTTTTATCCTGGAGTAGTCTGCAGTGACAGTTCTTACTCCTTCTCTATGAGGGTGTTGGGCCAAGGTGCCCAACCGTAACAAACCTTTAGAGATCCTACCCCTGATTAATAAAACTGTGGTCGTCCCGTTTTCTCAATGGGCGGGCGATGAACTGCATATCTGAAATGAAAACTAGCAACACAACTGTTTTAAAAGTTGATCTCCAGTATGGTGACACATGGCTGCCGTGAGCATGTCCACAGCACGTCTGCCTGTCAGGGTTTAGTCAGTACCTGCCCGGGGCCCTCTTAGACGGTGTCCCAGGACTGAAGATGGGTGCCTGGTGGGCACCTGCAGAGGACAGCAGTGGGTTCTACATGTGTGAAGAGGGTGTTTGCGCAGAGCGAGCGACATAAGAGCAAGTGTTGGCCTGTGTTCTCCGCTATATGGCTTGAATATTATTACATTGACACAAAGCAACAAGATCTTCAAAGGACTGATTTTTGAAAAAATTCCTAAATAATCTGTGGTTGTCCTTGAAAGTCATTCTCACATCGAGAGGATAATGGGGGACATCTGTAACAGTGTCAACAATAAAAAAACACACAAAACAGGATGTGTTGTATACAGCAAAAAATTAAAGTTATTCTCACATTTGATCTTTTGTAAATAACCTTTGTTTTTCTTCCTGGATTTTCACTTTGGCCCACACTTGCTGAAATTTGTTTTATATGGGCCCAATTTCATTGTGTTAGGTACACGATGGGCTCTTTAAATCTTGAAACTCATGTCCGAGTTATGGAAGACTTTCTTGAATTATTTTGTTGACCATTTCCTCTCTGCTGTGTGTGTGTGTGTTCTCTTTTGTTTGAGAACTTGTTTTAGGCTTCCTAAACTGTTCTAAATTTACCCTTTCTCATTTTTCATCTTGTGACTTCTGGCTCTACGTTTTGGGAAGTTACCTCAACTTTATCTTCTAATCCGTCTACTGAGTTTTTATTTCTATTAAGGCTTTATTTTCTAGGAAGTTCTTGTTCCCTTTTAAAATAGCCACCTGTTATTGCCAGCATTAACCTGATACCAAAACAAGTAAGGACGCTACAAGAAAAGTGTAGGCTAATATCCCTGATGATCGTAGATACAAAAATCCTCAACAAAAATTAATGCCCCGAATTCAACTATATGTTAAAAAGATTATACACTGTGATAAAGTAGGACTTATTCCAGGAACGCAAGAATGGTTCAATATCTGAAATACATGACATACATTAACCAAGTGAAGGACACAACATTTATCATCACAATAGATGCAGAAAAAAACATTTGACTCTCCAGAGTTGATGTGAGGATTAGAGATGAATGCCTGACAAAGTGACTGACACAAATTTATCCTTGTCCTGTCCAGTTCACCTGGATGCTTCCCATGACCTGACCAGAGAGATCAGTCTCTGTCATCTCATAATCCCTTACTCAGGTGCCCCCCTCTGGTCGTCCCCTCTTCCCACCCAATGTCCCCTCCCAGCCAACTCCCTTAAAGAATCTTCTACACTCTGCTCCTGCCTTTTGTGGTGTCTACACCTCGACCCACCGCAGTCCTCCAGGGAATTGCAAGGTCACAGTGACCACACAATTGATTCTTCCCCCCCTGGAGCTCCTCTCTCCCTGGGTACCGCTACGACAGACACCATCATCTACGGGACTGTTTCCTCTCTTCTTCCTTCGTGAGCTCCTGTCCCCCTTCGAACCCTGAAATCTGATGGGGAGGCGGATTTCAGAATTTTGAACATTTCTGTCTGTGAAGTGTGAACTCTCCCAGGAAGAGGGATGGAGTAGACGCATGAGGGAGGAGCTGCTGGGAGAGGGAGACAAAGGCAGCGGGAAGGAGGCCGATTCTTGTCCCTGGAAAAGGGGCTGTCCACTGTGACAGTGTGTAATGGTCACCCTGGCTGCGTTTGACAGGTTCCGCGCCTTTTCCACAACAGATGAGACCAAGGGCGTCACGCTGAGTGAAACAAGTCAGACGGAGGAAAACCAGTACGTACGGCCTCGCTTCTGTGTGGAAGGTAAAGCCAGA